CTGGCGGAGAGGAGGAGGAGACGCTTTGCCCAGAGCCCGGGCAGGGGTGCCCAGCGCCCCCGACTTCACCCACTTCTGTTAGCGACCCCCGAACGCCCGCTGGCCGTTGTTAGAAGCCCCGGAAAGTCCAGTTTGAGGGATGTTCAGGTGACAGGGCCATTTGACCCCCTTCCAAGGGACCCTCTGCCTCCCTCTCCAGGCGGCCCCGGGCCACTGCAGTGCCACGGAGTTGAACCTTTGGGGAACTTGAACTGCTCATGGGAACCTCTTGGGGACCTGGGAGCCCCCTCTATGCTGCACCTCCAGAGCCAGAAATAGTGAGTACCCGGGGGATCTGGGGAAACTGAGGCATTGGAGGTGGCCACTCAGGTCCCAGCTTGCTCTGGGCGAGGACATTCAGGAGTTCGGCCCCCCAGCCCCAGTCCTCCCGGACTCTGCAGCCCGCCTAATTCCAGACCCTTCTATTCTTCTGCCTGACCTTTGCTTCTCTGAGCGTCCCTTTCCTCCCCTTTTAAAGTGGTAGTAAAAATGGGACCTGCTCCCAAGGTTGAGTCTGAGGATTCAAGGAGGAGGCACATGGCAAGGAGAAAACGCTTAATGCTTTTGAAGCTGTTTTACTATTGCTGTTTAACCTCAGGCAAGTAGTTTGACCTCTCTGAGCATACAGACAGATCAGTCTGTTGCTCTGGATCCAGCTGTGAAAGAGGTAGATTAAAAGCCCAGCCCTCATGGGGTCCAGAGTTCAAGGCAGAGACCCCGAGTTCCTTCACGATAAGCCACATTGTGGGTACTTTTTTCTTCTTCTTTTTAATGGTGGTTTAAATACACACAAGGCAAAATTTACCGTTAGTGGTTACCGTTAGTAACCACTTCTAAGAATTCCATCCAGCAGCCTCAAGTACACTCACGTTGTCATGCGGCCACCACTGTCCATCCCCGCAAGTGCGTGTTTTAGCTGGTAGAACGCGGGAGAGTGGGGGACGTCCCCTCTCCTGTGTGAATGAGATGAAATTCCTGTAACAAAACTGTTCTGAAGTGCACAGTTCAGAGGCATCGAGTCCCTTTGCGCTGTTGGCCACCAGCCCCGACCCCAGGGCAAACCCAGGCGCCTGTCCCCCTCCTGGTCCCTGACAGCCTCCATGGACTCTCCGTGTCTGGATTTCATGCCTGAAGCTTTGGAGTCACACCACACGTGGCCTTCGAGGCTGCCTCCCCTCCCTCCACCTCACGGGTCCCGTCTGTGATGTGGCATGGGGTGTCTCCATTGTCCCGCGTGGGGACAACATGCCCCGCGTGTGTCTTCCCAGTTTGTTTCATTCCCCCTAGAGACGCGGGCTGTCTGCCTGTTGGGGTATAGGGCTGCCCTGCGTCTGGGCCTGCGAGTCCCTGTTCCGGTCCCTGTTCCCTTCCCTGGGGCCTGGGGCCGTTCTGTGTTCAACGTTGAATCCACACCGGCCTCGCAGGACTGTGCCGGTTTCCCCACATCCTCACCAACACATGGCTTTTGGGGAGTCTGCTTTTTTGTCTTGTTTTCGTGACTGAGGCGTGAAATCCAAGCTTTGGGGCTCTCCTCAGCCTCTCCCCCTTCCACACACACATCTCATCCTCCATCAGCCAGCCCTAGCGGCTCCCCCTTCCGTGTTACCCGCCACCCTGCGGTTCCTCCCAGGTCCCCAGCACCTACCCTGACCCACCATTGCCACTGGCCAGGGCTGTGCTGTCGGGTGCCTCCTGGTCCCTGGTTTCTAGGTCTTAACACCTGGGTCAGCGCACACCCCTCCTCTGCTCAAGAACACTCCATGGCTCCCACCTCATTGAGAGCAAAAGCCCAAGTCCTCCCTTCAGCCCCTGGAGCCCTGTACAATATGCCCCATCACTTCCCCGCCTCCCCTCCCACCACTCCCGCCATTGCTGGCTCCCCCCGCCCCCAGCCACGTGGGCCTTTCTACTGTTTCTCAAACACCAGCCACAGTCTACACCCGGTCTGATTGCTCGTCATATCCCACCACCCGGCATGGCTTTGACTGTAGGCTTCGCTTCCTCTTCTGCCCCTGGAACAGCTCCAGAGGGCAGCCCTTTGTTTGGGTTTTAGTTCTAGTCTCTGCTTCTAGAACTTGGCTGTTTGTTGGCTGAATGGTGCATGGGCCTGAATGTGCATATGTACAGTCGGTGCTCAATAAATATTGTAACATGCACAGATGTTCCTCCTATTGTATAGTCAACCTATTGTAAGTTAAAAATAGGGTGAGTCACAAATGAATCGAGCTGGGGGCGGGGGGCGCAGTCCGTGGTAGAGGGCGTGCCCAGCCCGCCCAGGCTCCAGGTTCAATCTCCAGCTCAGAGGGCCTCCCTGGGCCTGCGCATGGGCAAGAGCATCTAATGAAAAGCCTCCTTTATAACTCAGTGTCCAGCCTCTCGTGAAATTTATCGAACACTTCACTGAAATGGAAAAACGAGAGTTGTCCTGAATCGCCGGCCCAGGAAAAGATCAGAATTTACAACAAAATATCTGCGTGTGGTGCTGAGATGGAGCCCAGGGCCTTGCCCGGGCCGAGGGCTGCACCACGGAGCCCCGCCCAGAGCTCCAGACCTGGAACACTGTTTCCACCTGCACCGTCGTCGTAAAGTTGAAAATCTCCAGTGGAGCTGCCATCATGGGCGACCCTCTGTGTCAGGTCCCCGTAGCTGTGTATTCTCCTTTGGTGTTTATTCCCCTCCCCGCTCCGCCTTTTCAGTTGGACGGTTATTGCCCTCATCTCGTGGGTGAGAAGTGGAGGCACAGAGAAGTCAAGCTCCTTCCTCCAGTGCACACAGCTCCGCAGCACCAGCGCCGGGCTTTGAACCCAGGCGAAGGCCAGCTGTTCCAAGGGCCGTTGCCCCGTGGCCCTGGCTCCACGCTGGAGCCGTCTCATGCTCACATCTCTCCTCACAGCCATTCCAACAGAACCTGGACCGTGGCGGTGGCCGCGGGGCGGAGCTGGGTGACGGTTCCTCGGGAGCAGTTCACCGTGTCTGACACGCTGCTCGTCTGGGGGACCAAGGCAGGCCAGGTCCTCTGGCCCCCCGTCCTCATCAACCTGGAAACCAGAAGTAACGTGGCGGGGGGTGGGGAGCTCCGGCCGGGGTGGGTGGTTCTGGGGGCCCCGGCTCACTGCACCCCGGCCTCCCTCCCCAGTGAAGCCCAGAGCCCCCCGGCTGCGTCCCGAGGTGGACTTTTCAGAGGACGAGCCCCTGGAGGCCACGGTGCAGTGGGAGCCGCCTACCTGGCCACCTCATAAGGTCCTGATCTGCCAGTTCCACTATCGAAGATGCCCGGAGGTGGCCTGGACGCCGGTGAGTACCAGGGACCCTCTTTCCCTGCCCCGTCCCCAGCAAGTCCCCGGGGCATCGTCTCCAGGCCGGAGCCCAGCCCCCGACTCGCTCTGCACCTGCCCCAGCCTCGTGAGTCCTGTGCCCGATGCCTGCCCCACACTGTGTCTTCCTCCCACAGTCATCTACAGCCAGCCCCCCACTTCCAGGGGCGCTGCGCCCCCAGTTTGCCAGATGGGGAACACAGGGGGCTTTGGGATGTGTGGACTGGTTTTCTTGTCATTGTCCTCTAAACAATGCAGCGTAACAGACAGACACGCAGCCTTGACGTTGCGTGAGGTTTTACAAGTCGTCCGGAGAGGGCGGCCGGCCTGCGGGAGGACGTGCTGAGTCCTGTCCCAGGGCTGGGCTGTTTCATCGAAGGCACTTGGGCATCTCGGGATTTTCGTATCTGCAGGGTCCTGGGGGTGCCCAGGGCTGGCGGAGTAGGTCTCACACAGGCACCGATCGGACGCCCGGGGAATATTTCAGAAGCTCAAAACGTCTTTCACCTTTTCTGAGAATGAGTGAACGTCCTGCAGTGGCTTGAGTTAACCTTGAAATAATAACAAGGCCACGTTCAGAGGACACCCCCGTGCGCCTGCCCGGCTCTGGGTTCTCTGCAAACACAGTGTATTGAATCCTTCCATGAACTGGTGGAGGTGGCTGGCTTTGACACCTCCCCATTGTAGTGCAGTGCCGTGCAGCCTGGCTGTCAGGAACAGGTGATCAAAGCCACTGAGCCTGGCATGGTGCCTGTGGTCCCAGCTACTTGGGAGGCTGAAGTTGGAGGATGACTTGAGCCCAGGAGTTCAAGGCCAGCCTGGGCAACATAGTAGAACCCCGTCTCAAGAGAAAAAAATAAAAATAAAAAAGATAGATATCCATTTTATACTTCTCTTTATACAGAGAGGTTAGGTAACTTCCCCAAGGTCACACAGCAGGAAAGTGGAAGACAAGTCCAGAGCAAGGGGACCCCAAAAGGAGTAGAGGGACCCAGGCAGGCAGTTGAAGAGCACCACCTGGAAGCTGTATAGGGTATTTCCT